ACCAAAACACCAAAAGCATTGACAACAAAAGCCAAAATAGACAAATGGGACCTAATCAAACTCCACAGCTTCTGCACAGCAAAAGAAACAGTCATTAGAGCGAATCGGCAACCAACAGAATGGGAAAAAATTTTTGCAGTTTACCCATCTGACCAAGGGCTGATATCCAGAATTTACAAAGAACTAAAACAGATTTACAAGAAAAAAACTAACAAGCCTATTCAAAAGTGGACAAAGGATATGAATAGACACTTTACAAAAGAAGACATACATGAGGCCAACAAACATATGAAAAAATGCTCATCATCACAGAAATGCAAATCAAAACAACATTGAGATACCATCTCACGCCAGTTAAAATGGCGATCATTAAAAAATCTGGAGACAACAGATGCTGGAGAGGATGTGGAGAAATAGGAACACTTTTGCACTGTTGGTGGGAGTGTAAATTAGTTCAACCATTGTGGAAGACAGTGTGGTGATTCCTCAAGGACCTAGAAATAAAAATTCCATTTGACCCAGCAATCCCATTACTGGGTATATATCCAAAGGATTACTAATCATTCTACTATAAGGACACGTGCACACAAATGTTCATTGCAGCACTGTTTACAATAGCAAAGACCTGGAACCAACCCAAATGCCCATCGACAATAGACTGGATAGGGAAAATGTGGCACATATACACCATGGAATATTATGCAGCCATTGAAAATGATGAGCTTGGGTCCTTTGTAGAGACATGGATGAACCTGGAAACCATCATTCTCAGCAAACTGACAGAAGAGCAGAAGATCAAACACCGTATGTTCTCACTCATAGGTGGGTGTTGAACAGTGAGAACACATGGACAAAGGGAGGGGAGCACTACACACTGGGGTCAGTTGGGGGGAAATAGGGGAGGGACGGTGGGGGGTGGGGAGCTGGGGAGAGATAGCAAGGGGAGAGATGCCAGATGTAGGTGATGGGGAGGAAGGCAGCAAATCACACTGCCACGTGTGTACCTATGCAACAATCTTGCATGTTCTTCACATGTACCCCAAAACCTAAAATGCAATAAAATAAATGGGAAAAAAATGCTATCTGCATTTATCTGCAAATACATATTTATTTCTCTATAGAGAAAAGTCTTATTTGTAATTTCATTTTAAAATACTTAATATATCGTAATGTCTCCAAGTAAAAAATGGCATGGTTTTAAAAATCCCCTTCAAAAAACAGACTGCAGTAGTAGTGAGATGGAAAAGGTAACCTGGAGAACACTGAAAAGATTGTAATTTTTTCCCCAAAAAAATGTGTGAGAGCATGCCATGTTTTTGGCACATGTTGAATTCCCTCTGAGAGAGCAAAATATTTGATGGTAATGGGAACAGAGGGGACCAATTGTATGGCAGTCTATTGTCTGTGAGCTTGGTTTCAGTTGACACCTCATACAACAGGCATGAAAAAGGTCCCATTCCTGCGAGCCTGAGACAGTTTCAATATTGTGGCTCATCCCATGTGATGCTTTGCTAGCTTAACCACAGATTTCCTGGCAGGTAACCTGAAAACTTGCTTCTAGGTTACAGCATTACCTGGCTATCAAGATGTGAAGACTTTAGCTATCATGGGAAGAATAATCACAGGGTAGGAATTCTAGTTGAGGTAAAGGAGAAATTAATATCTTTTTTTTTTTTTTTTTACTTTGCAAGGAATTTTGAAAAGAAAAACATTTGAAAAAGGAAAATTTGAAAGGCAAATAAGAATATTTGAAAATGTCTTAAAAACTGACTCTTTCAACCTGTAAGTTTGAACTTATAACATTGTGACTTCAAAATTTATAACCAGTCTGTTTAAACTCTTCATATAAGTTTGTATCTCGTTTTTATAATCCTTCTTTTTGTTAGGGTAGCCTTACTATTGTGAATGCACAATCAAACAAAAGCCATGAGCGACGTCCAAAATTTAATCATTCTCCAAGAGCTTTTGATCTCCTGGATAAGAAAATACGAAAAAAGCAAGATGCCATTATGTTAAAGATCATAAGCTCTACACAGAAAGACAATTATGTTGAGAGCCAAAGAAATAATGAATTCCAGCCAAGTTATGCAGCAGTCACCGTGGGAGTTGCAGATTACATTAGGTAGTTGAAAAATTCCTAATGGTATGATTCAAACACAGGGTTATAGACCACAGTGATGACAACAGGCCTGCTTGGGACGGCACAGCAATAGTCACTATGAATACAGATGAGGAGTGTCATATCCGTATCTAGGCAGATGCTGCCCAATATGAGAAAAGGTGCTTCAAAATGCTTGAGATAGTGGGTTAGCCACAGAAAGATTTAGAATTAACCATAGAAATACGTACAAAAATCAAACTCATAGTATTAATATTTTTATATTATCTGTGTATATTTGTTGTTTTATGTATTCTTTTTAATCTTTAAAAGAATTTGTTCAATTCATGGGTCAGGCTTGAGCTTCCAATATAAATCGTGTGACCAAACAATAAATTTACATTTGAGTTTTTAAGTAGAAATCAGATTAATTTATAGATAATATTCAAACATTTAAAAGTACTTAAGGCTTACCATGTGTATACATTTAAAATACTAGACTTATAAATTATTTAAGTATCTAGTAATGTTTGATTTGTTAAATCAGAACTTAAAAGGGAAATATAAATACTGCATTAAAAATTTTATCTAAACAAGCTTTTGAATGGAGCCATACAGTAATCCAGGGTCCCCTTTAAAGGTAACCACTAAAATTTTCCAAACTTCCTACTTTCTAGCTTAATGTTGTGATGTTTTTAAATTTTGTAGTATACATACATACTGAATTTCAATTTTTAGAACCAAGGAAATATTTGAATAAACTTTTATGCACACAAAAGTCACCCTCAAGAACATTAAAAAAAAACTCACATTGACATTTTCTATAGCACATAAATTTACTCATGTTTATATTGATGTTTTCAAATGAGAGTTTATTAGAGAATAGCTGTCCCTCCCTAGAGTCTCAGCTGTTCAGTATCCAAAGAAAGGGTTTAACTATTATCTAATCATTTATCAGAGAAAACTCACTCTCTAGTAGTGTTTACTCAATATTCAGAGTTCTGGTTGGAGTATCTTCATTCTTCCAAGAGTGATTGTGCATCTCCAATGTGCAAGGCAATGTGCCCGTACGAGAAGGATGAGACCCCTCCCTATACTCAAAATGTTTGTGGATTAAATTATTTAAAGATGTAACAAAACTCACAGTGTATTTCTATAAAATAAACCCCTATTACATCATATTTATGTCATTTTTGCACACACAAATATTTTTAATTCTCTATAGCTTACTTAGAAATATGAAATTTCATTTTTACCTTCTTTTCTTTTCTAACAATAATTTGAAGGTGGAGATTAATTCGAGGTAAGAGGTAGGAGTCACATAATTGTGTCTTTGAAGTTCAACAAAGAAAGATTTTGATAAATTGATAGTAGAAGTGTGGAAGCTTTTACACATGTCGATACAGCCATCTCGTATTTCCTCTGACATTTCAATTTCTTCCAGGAATCGTGAGGCAACTGCCTGGAGTGCATCTTCAGGCCATGACTAAATTTAAGACAAATGCTTTAGCACTTTATTAAGATTACAAATCTGGAATTGTTACTACCGCAGCCCTTTACAACGTACGGATGTTGCGGGTAAGGGGAATAGTGTGACAGAAGGCATGGGAGAGACAATTTCATAAGGAAATTTCCCAAGGACTTGCATACTTAGGACAGGGAGCCAGGAGCTAGTTAGTGCATATAACATTCGCTGTCTGTGGTTTGTTCTGAGTTAGAGAAATTATTCATGAGTGCTGCAGGAGAAAGGAATGGCAGAGGAACTAAATTTATGGAATTTCTACTTCTGTATGCATTTTACCAGTATTATCTCATTTAATTCTCCTGAGAATGATGTAGGCATCATTCTTGAAATAGCTTTCAAAGCCTTTCTCTTCTTTATCTACCTCAATCATCCCAATTCAAGCCTCCACTATCATCTGCCTGCAAGATTCCAATAGCATCCTAACTGCTTGCATTCTCCACAGAGCTGCAAGAATGATTTTTTCAAAATACAAATTAGCTCATATTACATTCCCCAATTTATAACCATTCAAAGACTTCCCAGCATTCTTAAAGTAAAATCCAAACCAGCTTGCCATTCTCCATCTGATTTGGCCCTTCCTGTATTTCCGACCTGTTATACCACTTTCCCCCACAGTTCCTATGCTCCTGTCACCCTGATTTTCTGCCACGCTCTCCTTTCTTCTGTCTAGCCGCTTGACTTCACTAGTTTATCCTCTGTGTCCACATCTCAGTACTGACATGATTTTGTCTTTCCAGTTTCCTCTTCAAACCCTTAATTTGTCCCTTATTTAAAAAGCATTTACGTGTAATCCCAGCACTTTGGGAGGCCGAGGAGGGCAGATCACCTAAGCTCAGGAGTTCAAGACCAGCCTGGCCAACATGGTGACACCCCGTCTCTACTAAAAATACAAAAATTAGCCAGGTGTGGTGGCAGAAACCTTTAATCCCAGCTACTTGGGAGGCTAAGGCAGGGGAATCTCTTGAACCCAGGAGGCGGAGGTTGCAGTGAGCCAAGATTGTGCCACTGCGCTCCAGCCTGGGTGGCAAGATTGAGACTGCATTTCAAAACAACAACAAAGCATTTACTCCCTATATGCTACCCTGTCTGATGAAATTATGTGTTGCTTATTTGTCTGTAGACAGGGAGCTCAAGGAGAGCAGAGATCTTATCTATTTCATTTGCTTCATCTCCAGCTTTTAGATTAAGACATGCTACAAAGCAAAACAGAATTCAATAAATGTTTTGCATGAAATAATTAATTTTACCAGGAAGTGGAGGTACAAAGAGGTTCTATAAATTTTCTAAGGTCATAAATGCTTTTCTGTTAGATCCCACTTACAGGATCTCAGCCACAGCCCACAGATTTCTTACTACACTGGCACAGAATGCATTGTGACACACTGTTGAAGCTAGAAGGGAAAATTAAACTACTATTCCCATCTAACTATTCTCCCTTTGCTGCTCCTCTTCCCCACCCCTCGTCCCCACCCCACCATCCACTCGCTGCCTTTGTCTGCTCTGCTCCGTGCTTCCCAGTACTGAGGTCCACTACAAAAAACGTCACTCTGGCTTTCTTCCTTTTAACTTCTTTGGGTTTAGCTAAAGGAAAGAGATTGGGGTGTAGGGCGGGGATGGTAAAGAAGTGAGACATAGGGGTATTTGAATGCTCCCTTCCTTTCTAGCAGTAGCTGAGTTCTAGGTTTCTGGTTCCTGTTCCTGTTGGGCAGTCTTACATCCACAGCTCTAAGCTCTGAGTTCCGGTAACAGTCTTCCCTTCCTCTGCCCTTTTATCCCCGGGGATAGTAACACCTCCTGCTACTGCTCCACTCTCCACTTCCAGAGTGTTCTAACATCCCCTCTTGGCCCCCTTAACCCTGCCTACACCTCTGTGAACAGTTCCTTCATTATGGTTTCTTCAGTGAAGGGTTCAAGCGTGCTCTGTGTTTGTCAGGACACACAAATTTATCATAACACTTCCTATAATATATTGAAGTTAGTGATCACATATACTCTTAATAAATGCTTTTGTATTATGATGATTTCTTGAATTATAATTTCATAAAATACATTACAAATGATCAGAAGATTCTGCTAAACTACATTTTGGGGCGGTTGGGAGTCTATAAAATAAGTCACGATGAGGACAGAAATTCAACATTTCTAGAAGTCTATCTAAAATACACATGACGATACCTGAAACCAGTCAATGGTGCAGCAGTTAACAAGAGCAGGGAACTTCCTTAGACGATTCCGAAATGCATCTCCAATGGGACTCATGGCAAGGACCACATGCAGTTGGTTGCGGCAACGATCAATAAACATGTTGAAAAGGGCTATGGGGCTGCCATCTGTTTGCTTGGTTTTATCTCGCTGGCGATCTATGTGACGCATCTTATCACATATCTCTTGCTTCTCATCTAATGCAAAGAGATTTGGAATCTCCCCAGCATTTAGCAGATTATTGACATCTTCCAGAAATGACTCTTTTTTAATCTGAGTATCTGTAAACAGGAAGACACCCTGCATCTCACCTTCGGCACATTTCCTTAAGATCACTTTTAAATCTTCATGCCATTCAGTAATATCATACCCCTTAGAGATTTCAACTTGGAAAACTGAATAATCAGCCATGTGGGCAGCTAATCTGGTGACAGACTGTCTTCCGCTCCCTCCAACCCCTACTAGGAGAGCATGGCTGCGAGGCTGCTTCAGGATCCTGGAAATTCTGCTGATGTGCTCTACAGCAAATCGAAACAAGACGAGGTTCATGGGTTTTTTGCTTATATTGTTGTATTCTTCTAGGTGAATTTCTACTATCATTCGAAGATTATCCACATCTGTGACTTCTCTGTAGTTGGTATCCTCCCTCTTGGGATCATGGAAATCACAAAACATTAAGCTGCGTAAGTCATCTTCTTCCACTATTCCATCATTATCAAAATCCAAACGTTGAAAAAGCTCATGAAAATCTTCATGCATGTAGTTTTTCAAAATTTCTTGAATATAGTTGATGAGCCAGCTTCTGTCTGCATTGTCCAGAAGGCGGTCATAATATACTCGAAGGACCTGTATAATAATTAAAAAGCAGCTTTAGGAACTGACTTTCTTCAGATTTTTTTAAAAAAGTTATTATTTCTGTGCTAATATCAACTAATAAAAAAATTCTTAGAAAATTTCTGTGGGTTTTATTGAAAGTTTATCCAAATAATCAGGGCGCATTTATAATAATGTTGTTTTAAATGTTAATTTTGACCATATATTTAGAATAATAAGGTTATATTCAGTTACTAATCAATGAAAGGTAATTTTGGGGGTGGGAGCTGAAGTAGATGTAGAGATGCTAAGAGAATTAAGGCCTTGAGAAGGTAGTGACTGCCTTTGCTGGTCGCTCAGATGGGGATAGCAGAGCTGGGCACCAGTATCCAGGGATTCCCAACTCCTTTCCAGTGATGTTTCCTTTTTCTAAGATAGATAATATTTTGAAAGTTATTGACAAATCAATAATTTTTTTTTCCAAAAAGCACATTTTCTAGAAAAGGAAATGTCTTGGGTAGAGGGAGAGTTGTTTGGGATATGTGTTAATTATTTTTATTTTAGGTCATTACAAAGAACAATCTATCAAAATAAATCTCTGGTTATATGCACATGTTATGGGATTGCAAGAAACAGTCAGGCTTGCTACATGTAACAACTGCTTTCTTAAAGCAGTGTAAGTGTCCCAGGGGTATGGTCTATTTTGGACTGAATTATGTCCCCCCAAAATTCTTATGTTAAAGCCCTAACTCTCAATGTGACTGAATTTGGGAATAGGATCTTTAAGGAGGCACTTAGGGTTGAATGAGGTCATAAGGGTAGGGCCCTAAAACTATAGGATAGTGTCCTTGTAAGAAGAGGAAGAGGCACTAAAGTGTGTGCGTTCTCTCTCTCTCTCTGGTTCTTGTTCCTATTGGGCAGCCCTTATATGCACAGAGAAAGGGCCATGTGAGGACACAGAGACAAGGTGGCTTTAGCAAGCCAGCATGAGAAAATAAATTTCTTTTGTTTAAGCCACTACATTTGTGCAGTAATACTACACAAATAAGTAATGCAGAAAAAAAATCCCATGTTCATTTCTTATAAAAACATCTCCTTAAAAAGTGTTCCATTTCAAACGTATTTGAAGTCAAACTAATAAGGATTAAACTACTTAAGGGAAACTGGCTTAAAGTGATACCTACTATGAAATAGCCTATAAATCAACAGAAATTCCTAAATCTGAATATGGGAGATAACGCATTTTCAACATCATAAAACATTTTAAATATTTTTCTTGAACACTGATCTTCAAAATGCCAAATAACTGAATACATTTCAGCAATACAAATAGCAGAATATTTCCTTTTACTCAGTTGGTGGCATGGTAAATCTTTCTCACATAATCCCATTTCAGTAACTGGAAAATTTACCTCATGAACCCAAAGACGTTTAATTGCTTCTGTGGTTTCTGTTGTTTCTGGTCTTGACAAACACACACCTTGAATGACACGGGAGAAATCACGGAGGTTGAACAAGTAGTGAGATTTAGCTGGAGTAGGCAAGAGATTCTTCATTGCGTCTTTATACAGAGTCATTGTGCCATTTACGATTTGTGTGGTCAAATCTAGAAATTCATCTGGAAATTTATAACTTAAAAATTGTTTAAATAAAAAGAAAGGAAAATGTTAGCAATTATAAAATTATGACACATAAAGGACATTTAGCAGGACCAACAAAAAATTTTATTTTTGATTAAATCAATTTCATTTATAAAATTACCATATCTTATTACAATAATAATAGATTTTTACTCCTTTTAAAGCTACTTTCCATTTACTATTTTATGGTATGTCCAAAATAACCCTGTGAAATGAGCAGGGCCCAGTTTAATGGACTTAAAACCACTTAAGTGAACAGACAGCCAAGGAACCCAGATTATGTAATCCCAAATCCACCAGACAAGCATTTCCCAACCTCTTTCACCCCAACATTCTCAACTGCATATCAATATAATCCATAAGGAACACTGGTGAAACAGGTATTTTCAGAGGAAAAAAAAAGGAGGAAAATAAAATATATAAAATAAGGAAAAGAGAAAAAAGGAAAGTAAAACAGTGAACCAAGACAAAGTGCATGATTAGGGTATAAAGGACATAGAGAAGTAATTTAGAAAGACTACCTATATTTAACTTCTGGGTTGTCAAGGAACCAGCTGTCTACTCCATCATCACTGGATAAGGCAAGGAACTACAATTTCTTGAGAATGGGCATGGGGACACTGGCAGACTTCCCCTGCCCAGCCTAGTTTGGCTTCCTGATATCTCTGCATCTTGTGGAGTAGCAGAATCTCTACAGTTAGGCAGCGCCAAGGCAATACTTCTCAGACTTGGACATGAATATCCCTGCAGGACTCAAGAGTTCTACTAGAGGGTATCAAAGTCACTGCACAAACCTAATAAATCTTTCCAGCAGTAATTGAATTCAGTGGTGAAAACTCAAAATAATAATTCAAACATGAACATATGATATAGCAGAATGGTCAGGCTTCTTTGTGTTATGCTCCCACACTGGGAGGTAGGAGGAACAGGGGCAAATCATGTTGTCTATTACCTTTTCCTTATCTAGGAATGCTTTTGTTCTTTGAAATATGCTATTTAATATTGGTATGTTTCTAAAATATTTTATACTGTCAGGCCTCCATGTGCAAGCCTGGACCCAAAAGTCTGAAGTCCTGCCTGCCTTGGCTAATCACCATCCCCGTCCCACTGTAACTGATCTTACTCCATAACACCCCTGCCCCCTCCCCAAAGGATTTATCCCAACGTATAAAACCAACTCTTATCCCACTGCCCTTCACTGATGTCCTTTTTGGCCTCAGCCCACCTGCACCCAGGTGAATAAACAGCCATGTTGCTCACATAAAGCTTGTTTGGGGGAGGCCTCTTCATTCAAAGCCTGCATTTTAACATATACCTCCTAAAAAAACACAAATTTTTCATTACTTACCAGATTTTTAAATGCCAAGTTAAGATTCTGGAGAAGATTGTAAACATGGATTTGTCACTAAACTCATTGATTGTTATAATATTGAAATGTCGCATGTATCGAGGAGTTACTGGATTTCGACCACCACCTAAACATTAAAAACTGTAAATCTTAATAATGTTACTAGTATATACAAGAGTATTTTCTCAAATATTTTATAGTTTAAAGTAACTTAAAAGATGGACAAATTCATGGCACACAAAGTTAAGAGTAATCAATTGCTTGGATAACCCTGACATCAAAACTATTTTTCCCTCAAACCCAAGGTGTTACTTTTCTAGGTGAATTAACTGAATGAGTTCAACTAATTAGACATAATCTTGGGTCAAATCTATATTACTAAGGGAAATCAGACCAGGCAGAAAAAGCCATAGGCCACGGTCTCCATAGTTTACAGCCTAAAGCAATGAATAGTAAACATCCTTAATGCAATATTAAGAGGTAATATTACACAATACTAATGTAATCCTGGTGAATCTGACTGACCAAAGTTTAGGGTACTTCCCATAGGCTGGGATTCAGCACAACTATGACATAGAGCCAAATTCTTGTCCCACATTTTGAAATGAATTTGCTCAAAACTAGTCTATATGAACGTTCAGAAATTGTGGTAGTTTTAGAAAATAGAAATGGGGTTCAAAAGGAAAAAGATACCTCAAGGTTTTAGTATACTCTTCTTTCCAATGCCTGAGGAGGCAGGGAACAATGGACATGTGAGTATAAATGCCTGGCTTGGGGTGGTGTGGGAGAAAGAAAGTGGAACTGAAGTCTGAAACCCAGGAGCAACATGGTCTTTTATTTAATAAACGAAACAAAACAAAACAAACAACAACAACAAAAAACAGTCTGAGCATAATAACAAGCCTCCAAGCCCCTGACTCCACAAAATATAAAAACAAAGTAAGCCAGGCCTGGTGGTGCATGCCTGTGGTCCTAGCTGCTCAGGAGGCTGAGGTGGGAGGATCACTTGAGCTGAGGAGTTTGAGGCTGCAGTGGGCTATGATTGCACCACTGCACCCACCTCAGCAACAGAGTGAGACCCTGTCTCAAAAACAAACAGAAAGTGTTCAAGACAGTCCAGGAAGTGTGCTGAGAGCAATTACTGACTCAGAGCAAACTGTATTACATACAGGTCAGATAAAGGTCAGAATTAGGGAGCAAATACGAGAGAGATTCCCTGAAGTGGTATATCAACGCAAGCAATTTTTTAAAAAAAGACATACTGGCTTGAGGTCAGGAAGAAAACAGTTAAAGATGTCTCATTAAAGCAAGCCATTTTAGACATCACAGCATTAAAAGCAAATTTCCTCTACATAGAGATTTCTTAGAGTATAAATTTCTCTTGGAAAATGTAAAGGATCTTTTGGCCATTTCCTACTTAAATTCTTCTCAGTAGCTTGTTTAAATCCAGAGACTGACTTGAATGGAACTTGATTGGGGTTGATTTCTGAAGCAGGGACCATTCTACACAGTTGAAGATTAAGGAATGACACAGAGGAAGATGAGCTGCCCCAGGAGGATGTGAGTTTTCAGAAGGCAGAAACAGGAAATGGGGGGCAAACTTTCAGAAGGTAGGAGATAAAAGGATTTGGAAGAGTTTCAGAAGATGGGAGAAAAAAGGATTTGGAAGAGTTGGTGGGTGTATAGCCCATCCAAGATCACCCACTTTATAGAGTTGCCCATGTAATGCATTCTGTTAGGTCACAGTAGATACACATAGAAAACATACACACAAAACATTGAATGCAAAAGTATTCTTTTCCAGTTAGTTCTTTAGCTATAGCCAGAGTGATTTTTCTGTCTTAATAATCACAAACTCAGAAAATGTACCTGGAGGTCCCATAGCACACATGATCTGGATGTCCACTAGTTTAATCATGGAACAATCTTTTAGGTCATACCAGTTCCAGTGATCTAACCACTGTCTAAGTAACTCAATGGGAGGTTGAGCCCCATATACCTCCCGAGCAGGCATATTGACATCATCTACAAACACAATCTGAGAATGAGAAGAGAAGAAGTACAGAAAATATTAACATCTCAACATAGAGTCCTATTGTGTAAACAATATGGAGGCAAATACTTAGCTATCTACTTGCAGAGGACATATGGGGAAGTGATGTTTCTTTTCTAAACAAGAATATCCTCAGCTTCCATGCTTTTAGCATTCATATTCTTCAAGAATTATGGAGACATTCTCATTGCCAATATTTGTAGCTCAGGACTTATTAATCCTTTCATACAATTTGTTTCTCAATAAATCACGTATTTTTTCCTTATACCACACATTTCAGTTCATGAAAATAGATGAGAAAGGTGAGAACAGTGTTCTTTGTGGAGGAACACAGGTAAATCCATTGAGAGCTGGTTGCTGAAGGTCTACAATAGCAAGCAGCAAAGGCTGCTAAGTAAAAATATTAGTGAAAGAATCAGGAAGGTAGATGATTTCTTGATGAATATTCTACCTTCAACTCAAAGGGCAACTCCTTGTTTTAAACATCAAGCTGTCTAGTGCACATACAAATATAACTATACGTCTGGGAAAACTTTTTAATCTGAATTTGTGACACAAAATAACCTATAGAAAAAGATGTTTATCCCTAGGATATTTGGTTTCCTTGTTCTGACTGTAGCAATATATGTGAACAGGCCCAGTGCTATACAAAGAGTCATTACCATTCTCTTGCCCAGAGGAGGACCAAAAACTCCCTTTCTTCTCTTGTCCAATTTTGACATGATAATATTCTGAGTTTGAGCTGCTGTAGTTTGTGCCGAGAAGTTAATTAGCAGAGGTTTGTAGATTTCCTTATTTAGTTGATTTAAAAGAAAATTCTATGTAACAAAATAATAAAATGAGTCATAGTTGAAATTATGTTTTGACATTTCAGAATAAACACTAAGCATCATTACTGACAGACCCAAATTTAACCTTAAGTATCATAATATTGTACAAATTGATGGAATCAGTAGGAATAACAGTTACCATGCCAATGGAGTGTCTCTATGTGTCCACCCTCTTGCATGTGCCTTCTCTGGTTTTCACAGCCACTGGGGAGTACACATTCCTCCTTAACTTGGAGTCACAGAGACTCAGAGGTTAGGAAACTTGCCTAGTTTGTCCAAGATGGGCAAGAATTCAGACTGCCGTTTGTCTCTCTCCACATCAATATTCTTTTTCATATATCCTATTATCTTTCCACTTACATATGAAGCTATTTTCTGTAAGTTAAAAAGCTTAAAAACATAACCGTATTTTCAAAATGGAATTCACTAGGAAGCAGGTGGAATTACAATGGTTCTTAATCAAGATGTATGCCAGGAACAGGACATATCAGAATTCCCTGAGGAGCTCTTCAAAATAAAATTGCCTCTCCCCACTCCTTTTTCCCCTTCTCTCCCTTAAGAGTTCTGTGTAGGGCACAATCCCTTGTCAATGAAGGGCCAATTTATTAGAAAAGTCTTAAGTAAATCACATATTTTCTTAATGAACACTAGTATCTATCACATGCACATATGAATAAAGGAAGGGAAATGGTGAAGTTTTTTGCCTGTTCTAAACTTCACTTGCATTAAGTGCTTGCAGCATTCAACTTTATAATTTAGATACTAAATTACAACCCAAAGTATCAAGTGGTAAAACACCTCAAGCAAGTCCTCTTTTCATGTTGTGATTACATACTAAATATTACCATAATTTAAGCAAATGAAAATTTTGAAACCATACTTTAAAATATTAATCTATTCATCAAGGCAACATGTATTTTAAAAAGAACTTATGATGTTCTCATTAATGACTACATTCAGCACACATGACAGGAGTACTGGCAGGCAGAACAAATAGAGAAAATAAGGAAGAAGGAGGGTGACAAGCTGGTCAGAGATTCTGGAGGAAGGTTTTCACTCCTCCCATCAGCCCAGCAGGAGCTACCTTTTTAAATTTAAAATTGTTTTTCTTTTCACAGAATGAGCACGTTCTAAAAAGGAAGTTCTTTTTTTCTTTTTTCTTTTTTTTTTATTGTACTTTAGGTTCTGGGGTACATGAGCAGATCATGCAGGATTGTTGCATAGGTACACACATGGCAATGTGGTTGGCTACCTCCATCCCCACCCTCCCCTCCCCAACACCTACATCTGGCATTTGTCCCTATGTTATCCCTCAGCGACCTCCCCACCCCACAGCTGACCCTACCTTGGCCCCCCACCAACAGACCCCAGTTTGAATAGCAAAAACTGGGAATGGGGAAGTTTAGAATAAATGTAGGAATATGTTTTTGTGACTATTATGATTAAAACGTCTTTTATGATTTTATGATTATAATGTAAGTGACAGATTATTTTAAGAGGAATAATAGTTTGAAAACAAGTTATCTATGTATTTAAGGAAACAACTCCCTATTCTGAGCAACTATAAGAAAGAAAAGATGTGTCTGAGTAAAATAAATTTATATAATTTTTTAAAAATTATTGCTTAAGACTCTAAAAAATTATTTCACTTTGCTTGCCTACATGATATACAATGTAGATACTGTATTATACTATATTTTTATTCAGCTAACAGTGGCAGTAATATGGCAGAAACATGGTAGGTAATCAATAAATTTTTGTTGGATTAATGGAAGAACTAAATGAAACAAGAATGAAAATAAGGGGTGGGTATGGTGGCTCCAGCCTGTAATTCCAGCACTTTGGGGGGTCAAGTCAGGAGAACTGCTTGAGCTCAGGAGTTGGAGATCAGCCTGGGCCACACAGTCAGATCCCACTTCTAAAAAAAAAAAAAATTAGCTGGGAGTGGTGGTGCATTCCTGTAGTCCCAGCTAATTGGGAGGTTGAAGTGAGGAGATCACTTGAGCCCAGGAAGCCAAGGCTGGAGTGAGCTGTGATTGTGCTACTGCATTCCTGCCTAGGGGACAGAGCAAGACCCTGTCTCTCAAAAAATAAAAGAATGAAAATAGGAATGTAACACATACATAAGCCATGGCATGAACAGTTTGGCAGTGGGCATTGAGACCATCTAAAAGCAGAAATAAATCTAACCATAATAAATATAAATAGTTCTAAAAACAAAATTCAAATGTAATTAATATAAAAATTCTAAAAGAGTTGCTGCATAATATTAAAAATAATTTGGCAAAAATAAACTGAGGTTTTAAAACATCTCCGTCTTACCAGAAGATGGTGAAAGGTACAGGAGACAAACGGCAGTACTTCAACTCTTCCTAGCTAACTGGATAGGGAAAGGAGGTCCATGGATACTGTTATTCATAGTATTGATAACTTAAAAATGAATTAAAAAAAATTATAGACCAGAAAAATTCTTAGTGTTTTAAAATAGATTAACACTAGAAGAATTTTAAATAGTTTTCATATACTTCTAAATCAATAGGAAGAAGAAATATTATAAACATATCATAACAGAAATTAAAGATTTTTAAAGCACATAAGCTAAACAGAAAATGTGAATACAAAAGTATGACTCATCATGACAATTTATGTATCTGAGATCAATGTCCTTATTAAAAGGAAAAAGGGCTCAGATTGACACAAATACAAAATGCAGCGACACGCTGAGTCTAAGTAATCAAGAAATACTTAAAGTGAAAAGAACAAGCAAAAATAGATCATGTAAATGGAAAAAAAAAAAAAAAAGAAAAGTAACTAAAGAGGACCATTAATAGAGTATTGTTCTGTATATTGCTTACATCATATGTAGAAATAAAATGTGCAAATCAGACCATTATTAGAATGTTGCTCTAATTTCAGAAGTGTATAGGTGATTTAAAAATTCTAAATAGTAAATTTTCACTTTTTATCATGATGCCTTAAAAATTATATCAACAAAATTTATGGCTTTATAAGCTATCATCAGGTAAGCCTTATTCTTCAGTTTAAATGAATACTTCTCATAATACTCCCACAGATAAAATTTTACTTGGTCAACTGAAAGATGAGTATTTTTGATGTTTACATTTAACACTCAAAATTAAGTACATACTTACAAAAATTACTTGTTTCTTTTTTCAATTTAATGATCAAATTATATGTGTTCATTAAAATTATTCTATAAAAGCTTTGTATTTATGTGAAAGGGAAAATACTTATTTGCCAACAGAGATTACTTTTAAATGAGAAACAACCATAATACTAAATATTGTATTTTTAACAATCATTTTAATCTAAGCTCTCAACAATGTAAATTGTATGAAATTATAGAGTCCTTCCAACAACTATGAAGATACTAAAACTCCCTCGACAGATTTGCTGTCAACCAGTATCTTCAGTAAATTTTTTTTTGTTGTATTGCTTTAACTTACATTTTTAGGTAATGTTTAATACTACTTATTTTTTCAAAGTTTATTTAAAATATAAAGAGATGTATAATAATTTGAAGAGAAAATCACTTTAAATTATAAATTTTATATTTCCTTCTTTCAACCAGATGAAATACAGGTACCAAGTTTTATTAAGCAGCTTATATAAATAAATTCTCAATGAAATTACTTTAGGGAAATTAAAATTATGTAATATTGTCTCAAAGTAATATTTTCTTTCCCAGAAGAATAAATTTTGGAGACTTCAGCCTTCTATTTATATTATTTACAATGTAACTAACTCTTAATTAATTGAGGTAATGAACTCCCCCTGAAGGGCATGGTGGACAATAACCTTTCTGAGGAACAACTTAATATTCATCAAAAAATCAACAATTCCATTTCCAGGAATCCTAGAAAATTTTCCTAAACAAACAGAGATAAGAACAAAGATTTAGCTACAAAATCATTCATTGCAATCTTATTTCTAAAGCAAACTGTTAGAAAAATTAGGGATTTGAATCAATTATCATAAAATTATAGAATTGAATACTATATCCTTAAAATAATCTTGTAGAAAAATAAATTTGAAAGATATTTACAATATTCATTTTTAAAAGAAAATTACAAAGTTATGTTCCTCAGTGTGTGAAAAGGAATGTTTTTATCTCCAGGCACTTTATTCCTGGGCTGAATTTGATGAAGGTACAAATGACAAAGGCTTGTATTTTCTTCTAACCACTGCCTTCAATCACGTTGTCTCTATTCCCTTACCCATGGTGATATCTTAGATAAATCAGCTTTCTGTACACTTTGAGTATTTTTTTTTTTTTTTTTTTAAAGCCAGGCCAAAAATACTCCTTGATTTAAATTCTCAGTGAAAATGTATCTCTCCCGCCTCTTGGATACTCCCATACATTCAAGCATTTAGTTTATGAGAGCTGTCATTCCAATCTTTTATGAAAGAGATTATTCAATCAATACTAGGATGGCTATGTAACTATATTGCCAAACACATTTCAGAAAGATTATAAGATGTAATGTTAAAGTCAATAAAGAACAAGAAACAGGTACTGTGGGGAATGTGAATTAACTGGGAACCTACAATGAGAGAGGGGCTGTCAAAAGACACCTTCATTCTCCTCCACAGGCTGCGTAAAGCTTCTGAGACTGTGGCATTTTCTATTACAGCGGCTAGCATATTATCTTCACTAACAGACAACAATTCCAGACATCATTAAGGAAAATCAGTCTTGTTACTACACAATAATCCTTCAGATATAAAATAACTTAGAAAGCATCAAATGTAACTAAAACACACTTTCAAGAGATACGAAATTCTCATGTGGAACAAGCAATTCTTTTTAAAATACTAAAATAAATGGGGCAAAAATTTAGTGATATAAAATGCCATCATATCATTAATCAATTTTCTAAAACAAATAGACAATTATCGCTTCTTGGCCTTTTGGCCAAAATCAAAAATAAAATAAGTAGGCAATTTTTCAAAAATTCTCTGTGGTTGAAACATCAAAGTACTTGAGTATTTTTAAAAAATTATTTGTCTACTATTTCAAAAACTAATGTTCCTAGGAAGATTATGCACAGTTTAATATGTATATTTCTGCAAGACTTACAATAATGTAAACACTCTTCCCAGTTCCCGTTGGTCCTACAAATATTGAAGGCTTTTGATGAGTGGTCAGCAATTCCATTAATGCAGAGTATCGAATTGTGTCCAGAGTTGGCACAATGATTTCATTAAAAAATACGTCTTTAGGAATTGGAGGAGCGTCTTTCAATTTCTTTATCCATGGTTCCCATTTTCCTATTCCCTATTTAAAATAAACAACCAAGTAATGAATGTTATAAAATACTTTTAAAAGCTCTATACTCCTGTGCTATTGTAGAAAAGGCTAAGACCAACAAACCCTGATATATATACATTTGTTTTATCCTTTAAGACACGTAACACTCAGTTTGAAGGTTAGATTGTATGTGTAAATTAAGGAGAAACTAGCTTTTACACAAATACAAATGAAATGGCAATGCTGTGGGTTTTTGATGCTCTGAAACCACTGCTTTCACCTACCCAATGATCAATTATTGTGGCCAAATGTTAGATTATTCAATGGTATTGAGAAAATTAAACTAACCAATGGACTAAAGAGTAAATAATTTTACAATATAGTTTTTTCTCCCTAGAAGATAAGCTGCATATTGCTTGCCTTTTATAACAGTATTGATAACGTTAGCGTATCAATGCAGGCAAGATTTCTTTCTAAAAATGTATAGTAAAAAATATATAAAATTTATCCTTAACCATTTTTAAGTGCATAGTTCAGTAGTGTTAACTATATTCACATTGCTGTGTAACAGATCTCTAGAACAGGAAAGATTTCTTAATATGAGACTATTATGAGTTAACATTATGCCATATTTTTACATCCAATTAGCTTGTGAACTAAAATTTTAATTCGCTATGACAGTGTTTATAACAAAAACATTCAAGAATATCATGTTAACTCTCACTTCTTAGAAAAACACAACCACCCTTCTTAGAGAATAAAATCTAAATTCCTGGTCATTCAAAGTACATCAGAATTCAGACCCATCTATGCTTCACAACCAGGCCTCACTGATGCACCTGTTGGTCCCCCTGCTTCCCTGGGTCCCTGAGCTTTGATGCATGGCACTCCTTGGGCCAGAATGGCACATGACTGTAATCTGAAGAGGTTATGAACTCACAGAGGGATGCACTGCGCTTTACTCATTCTTGTATCTTCAGGTACAAGACTGTGCAGAGAGCCGAGATTTTTTTCTAGGGTGTTAAATTCAGTCTGAAAATTGTATTATAAAGAAGTATTTCTAGAATCAATAAAGAAAATAATGCCTTTCCAAGCTCTTGATAATCTTTTCAAACGTGTCTTTTGATACTGTATAGGAAAGGAATCATTAAGAATCAGAAAACCTGAAATGTACCATTATTTAGAGGTTGTGTGATCCTGAGACAACCGCATAAAATCTCTGAGCCCCATTTCCTCAACAGCAAAACCTGCAAAATAATTCTACCCTTCCCACTTTACCAAAGTGTTGGAAAATAAAATAGAAATAATTGCAGAAAGCTTAATAAACTTTACCCTGAAAATGTAGGGTATTAATAGTAATTTGAAATAAAATTAAATTAACAAAAGTAAAAATATTATATCTGTGTTGGGCACAGTGACCCCTTCTGGTATGAGTTAGCAATAGATTGCAAGAACCATAAAAATTCAAAAAGCAATACAGTAATGCCTTTTCTAGAAATTTATCTTAAGGATATAATCAGATATGTATCCAATGACTTGTATCCAAGAATATTTATCAAGGTAGTATTTATAAAAGTGAGAATCTTAAAACAACCAAAAACAGTCCAATGTCCGAGGGTAGGAAATTATGACTAAATCATAGTCCATTCATATGGTAGGGAGACTTTAGAAAGCAAGTTTACTGAAGAAACATTAGTGAAACAGCAAGTTGTTCTCATTAAGAAAAAGGAAGGACATAAAGCTGCCCACTGGGAATGTTGTATGATCCCAATTTTACTTAAATCTGTATATATTTAAATAATATGTATTCCTAAACTTGGTCCTCAGTACAATACTTGTGGAAGTTGTTATACAAAAACAGCCCCCACCCAAGTTTTATTTTCCAATCCGTTTGGGAAGCACTGAATTAAGATTACACCACCTGGGTTCCTAGAGGACTTCTTAGTGCCTAGTATACTAACATGCACTGTGAATCTCTAAGAGCTGTCCTTAAACAGTATATGCCTGGTGTGATTCTATTTAATGAGTGCAGTTGGTCCATCAGATATTATTATCTCATAGTACCATTGGGAAGAAATATGTTTGGAGAACACAGACCATAGCTATACAGAAAGAGTGACTTTACTAGGACTCAAACCTAGAGCTGTCTGACTTCAATCCAGTAGTACACCTTCCTCTAATCTATGCTGTCTCTTAAGGTAAACAGCGATGATGAAGGTGGCCACAGAGCCATCATATGCTGGGTATTGGAGAGGGGACTCTGCCAGGCTGGCAGTTGCAAATCTTGCTTCAGAACTCTTACCTCAGTGACAAATTGATAATCATAAATTGTTCCTTTTTCAGGAAATGGGACAGTTAGTGTCTTTGAGGATGTTTGTTCAGTACCACTCTGTAATTTAAACCTATTTCGAGTTAGATCTGAAATCGGACCTTCCATAAGTTCTCGAAGAATCTTATTAAATTTCAACCGATCATCATCTGTACAAGAAGCACCAACGGACCAGATCAATGAAAACAGAAAAATGCCCTGCGATGGAGAGATGAGAAGATTAAGAACAATTAAAGAGTAATTTTAATCTGTCCTTGAAGCTTACATATCAGATCAACCAGATTAGTAGCTCTGAAAGGAAACACATAAGCTCATATATAATGGTAGGTCATCTCAGGATTTTGTATCATAAAAGTTTTTAAAAATCAAATTGCATGTCTTATAAAATCTTAGAGAAGATACTACAAAACAAAGTATACATTCTGGCCATATGAAACTTCAGAATGATTAGTAAATTGCATATTTTCAACACATGATAGCAGCTTGATATTAAAAGAAACTTAGAAATAACTTATTAAGGCATTACAGCACACTGTAATAAGGCAAATAACCTACATATTAATTTTATTTAAATTTTGATATGGTGGGTTTACTTTAAGTAGAACATATTTAAATTATTTTATTTGTAATATCTGAGCACTAACTGTATAAACTAGAATTGCAATTCTGCAAGCAAAAGATACTAGCTTTCTTCTTTCCAGACTCAAAAAGAGGAAACAGAGTAGAAGACAAGACCCACCAATAAGGTAGAAAACCAGTTTGCTTGTTTAAAAACAAGGTCTTTTATTAAGTCCAAAGCCAAGAGAGTCTGGACTATGCTCACGAAAGTTCTGCACTCTACTTCAATCTTGTTCACCTACTCCTAGTTTACTCACAGACCGTTTCTCTCCAGAAACCATTTAACACTAAATTTAAAAATTTATTTCAAAACATGTAAGTTATGCAAGTACCATACTGACCACAGAAGTGCTACCATGAATAGTACTGGAATATTTTCATTAAAAAATCCAAAGTCTACTGATATTTTTATTCCCATTTAAAAAATCATTTATTGATTACCTATATATTTTCTTGCTTTCCTTAATCCAAATATATATTTATACACACACATATGTATACAAATAATTTATATCTCATGAAAAAAGGAAGAATAATCAAGGGGGAAAAAAACAATAAATTACTATAGTTTGGAAAGGGGGTAAATCTCGTTGCCAAAATGGTCACTGACATTTTGGGAATGAATCATTTCTGAGGCTGGTCAAACAACCTGAGATTTTAGTAGCAAATCTGAGGCAATCTCTGGGCTCCGTCTGAACCTCGTGATGCACCACGACTGCCAGTTAAGGAGCTTCCCCACCAGCAGTTACAATTTGGGGCCAGACTTTTTCCTCACTCTTCCGCTACCACCTGTTGACTAGTCTTCAACTTCAGGGGAAAAATGAGTTTCATAAATTAAAAAGCTTTAAGGAAAGGCAGTAGATACCTGTCTTTCTGTAGCAAGATACAGAAGGCAATGGACCTTACCTCAAGCAAAGAGTAAGTTTCTCGATCATTTCTCTCCTTTAGTTTGGCTTCATCAGCAAAATCATCCATAAAACAGTCTATTAGATTCATTAAGGATCGGACTAAGTTTGTGTCGGAAGTAGGAGATAATTCCTGAAAAGTCAGTATGAAAAAAAGTATAAACAATTTAAATTAGATACTACCTAAAACAGCCCCAGCTAATATTTATTAAGCTCATTAAATTTTAGCAGAGAGTAATAATTTTAAATTCATACTATCTATGAATAGGTACTATTATTACAATTCACTTGAGAGAACTGGATGTTATATTCAGGTAGTGTGTACTCTTTAACCTCTCATATCGATTCTCGAATTAAAAAAAATAACTGTTACATGTGTAGTTAATTTAAGATATAGATTCTAGGGTATACTAATTTTATACATGAAAACACTAAAAAAATTTCAGAGAAGGCAGTTAATTTGTGTATCTAAAATGCTTAATAAGTAAAATCCATTTTAGAGCATATTTACAAGGCATAGCAATACTCATAGTAAACTGTGAAATACAATTTCAAGTCTTGGAGCCCTCAAAAACCTTTCTGGGTGCTTAAACTGTCGTGCACTTTACTTTTCTGCATGTCACCAGGATAGTTTATAAAATAAGTGAAATAACAAGTACTGCTCCTAGAACCATGCAGCATATATTAAGTTATCATAGGTGTTTGTCTTCTCCCCATGCAGGTTTCTTCCAGTTGTCAAAGTCACATTTTTTGGTGGTTAACAAGTAAAAATTAACTCTCTAAAACAGACTCCTGAAGATTAGAAGCAGGCGACTCCATCTTCAGCTGTCACCCCAGTAGAAACATCAGAAAAGGCAGCTGAGTTTCTATGTGTGGGACTAAGTATTACTGATGCAACACTAAAACACAAACAGTTATCACTGCAAATAAAACAGATACTTATTACTACATAGCAAATAACAGGCATTCATAATTCCTTCAAGAGCTAACAGAAGTACACAGTATATTTGAGAAAGCTTGCATTCAAAGTTTTATGTTTTCCTATAGAAAAGATGTTTCAGCTACATAGAAAATTCGTTTATTCGTAGTATCTAAATTCTCTGACAATGCCAGAGAAAAAACCCAGAAAGGCCCTGAAGCTTATTTTATTATGACCTCAGTTCATACATGTTTAACTGTTTATGAAGCATGAATTACTTCATATCTACAACCTATTTAGGTTACAGCCAAACTTCTTGAAAGAGAAATATGGAAGTCACCTCACTTCCTTCTTCTCTCTTCCTGCTCTCTTGTCTAAATCACTGATGAACCTGCAAGTCTATCCCTTGCTCTCTTCTTTTTTTCTCTGGATTTTTTCTTTAGGTAATCTACATTAACACGGTTTTAAACTCCATTTTCCAAATCTGTACCTGGCGCTAAACTTCTGCCTCAAGATTTTTTGTTATATCTTCAACAGCAAAAGAACTATCGGAACTTTGCTCCAGAGCCAAAGTCATTCTAAAAGACCTTAGGTCAGCATCTCCCAAAGCAGAAATTAAACATTCTTGCTCAGTAATTTCCAGCTGAAGAGAGTTTCAGAGACTCGCTGAAGCTCAGTCAACTCTCAGAGGCAGGATATTCCCGTTTCCTTGTCATTTTCCTCCCTTCTACTGTCCCCACTTCCTCTCCTCCCCCTCCCCAGTGTAGGCTGAAAGAAAGAAAAATGACTTTGCCTACTTTAGGGCCTCTTCCCAGTCCTTCTACCATGGACTGACTGGCTTATTTTAGGAATTTTGGATAATAAAGAATATTGTAATAATAGAAATTATTTAAAATCCAGTAGCCCATCAGAAAAAATAAATAACATTTTGACATGGTTATGTGGGCCTTTGAGTTCTCCTGTTTTTAGAGAGAGAGAAAAGAGTAGCACCAATATACTTCATTTAAAATATTTTTAGTGAACTATATGCATTCTAATTTAAATTTTTAATTTAATCAGAAAGTTTTTGATTTAACATCTATTAGCTGATAATAAAAAACAGACATTAAAATTGGTAAGTCCAATATGAGTTTTCCATTTATTTTTTAATCTTAAAATTCTCATTTATCTTACCTTTGTATGCTTTCTAATAAATTCAATCGAAACAGGGATCATTCTGTCAAATAAGCCCATTATAAATTCCTTTTGAATAACACTGACTGATGCAGGTAACAGATTAACCCAGGACAACATCAGTGGTCTCCAGCCTAACATGTGAGGCTCCATGTAAATCATGCCACATCTGGAAACCTGGAAAGCCATAATTGGTTACCATCAAGGCAATGCTTATAAAATAAATATGATTTGGCACATCCATTTCTTATAATCTTCAGAAAAGTCTGCGGGAAAGCTTAATTTTTATATAATCTCATGATCTTGATTTTTGTATCTGAATTTACCAAACAGTCCCAAACCAAGAGGAAAACATCCTGACCACTAAATTTGTCAAGGTATGTCAACAGACATGTCTGTCCTTTGAGAATCACAGATTGCTCTTAAAAGAAATTCTGCTAATATTTTTTGCTTAAAATCAAAGTTACTAAGCAAATACACATATTCATAACATTTTATAATTTATAAGATCTCAAAATAGAGAACTTACAGTGGCAGGGGAAGCAACTTCTAAATCCATTGGCTCAAAAATTAGATTCATTTGTGGTGACATTTGAATAATCTCCCCACTCATCAGACATAGCTTCTTGTTGTCATCCAGCACAGTGTTCATATTTTCAATCCACACTGCATCTACTGGGCCATCAAAAATCAACCATTTCCTATCTGGAGTCTATTTCATGCACATGTGAACAGAGGGAAAAAAACATAATAATGATAATGTAAGAAACAGTTCAATAATATTATTGCAAAATTGTAAAATATAAGTATTAAGATTAATTTCATCATGAAAATGTAAAGGCACTTTTTAAATAAAGATTACTACATATGTGTGTGTGTCTACAAGTACATATGTATAAGTAAAGAAGCCTATACTATATATGCCATGGACAAAACAGAAATACGTCATCTTTTCTTAAGATTCAGTCTTTTTCAGGGTTTCTTTCTTTCTTTTTTTCTTTTTCTGAGATAAAATAATCTCTGCTGCCCAGGCTGGAGGGCAGAGTGGTGTAATAACGGCTCACTGCAGTCTCTGCCTCCCAGGCCCAAGCAATCCTCCCAGCTTAGCCTCCCAAGTAGCTAGGACCTCAAGTGTGCACCACCGACACCCAGCTAATTTTCTGTATTTCTTGTGGCAGAGATGGGGTTTCACTATGTTGACCAGTTTGGTCTTGAACTCCTGAGCTCAAGATCCACCTGCCTTGGCTCCCCAAAGTGCTGGGATTACAAGCATGAGCCACTGCATCTGGGCCTTTATCAATGTTTCTGAACTCAAATACATATAATGTGTTTTAGAAAGTAATATAAGTAAAAAACATATAATTGCCAGGAAAACAGAATTACTCAGAATACCTGACTCTATATAGTATCATGTTTATGCAAATTAATTACTCTTGTGTGCTAAACCAAATTTTTTTATTCCCTTCACTGAATGAATTCACGCACATACATATACACATATATACACTCCACTTGGGCTGAGCTCTCTCCTGATGGTATAGAAAAGTACAACCAACATAACATTTATAGTCCCACAATGATAAAATAAATATGAAAATATTTACAAATTGTCCAGAATATAGCAAATGCTCAACAAACAGGAAAGAGTAGACAGATGTCAGCCAGAGTGTACAAAGACTGATTCTCCTTTTCAGGTCCTTATATTTCGAACTTTTTTTGTGTACACCAATGATTCCTTGCTTTTTCTTCAGCAAATATGAGTTCAGGTTGAAGTGGTGAAGGATCTGAAACCATCTTAACATATTCCCAGTCCCTGCAGCCAACTGCATTAATCTATAAGACAATGGGTCTGTCTCAGGCTCAAACCACCGCACGCCCACACTCAGAGGCCAGTTCTAGCTGTGTTCAAGAAGGAAGCAAGGAAGAGCCACAGCTTGGTAATCAACTTGAGATCAACTTTCTCTTCTACTGTGGGCTCCCCATGACCGTTAAGCTTCCTTTGGGAAACACTACCGTGCAATGGCGAGACCTTGGGCTTCACAGTCTCAAGGACCTCACTTTCCATTTGGCTCTACTACTATGAGCTGTGGACTTCAGGTGAACTACTTAAACTCCCTGAGACTCAGTATTTATGGGACATAGCTTCCTGAAAAATGTTATGTAAGCTGTAAGTATAAAATAGACGTATTTCATGATTATTTCTGTGTAAATAATGTAACTGCTTATATTATCTAGTGACTTCATCTCTTATTCTGAGCCACAGTGTCTCCATTGTGGCAAGAGAGAATCCAAGAAGCCACATCAAGGGTTCCAGACCTCTATCTGCTTCACCTGTGTCCACAATTTCTTTTATGCTCGAAATTACTAGTAAAGCTTGACTTTGGGCAAGATCTTTGCCCCATAAGAGTCAGTCCTTATGTTGCTCATTGCCTAAGGTCTTTCCAGCAATAAGAACAGAGCTGAGATTTCACATTTTATCCATTATTACTTGACACATGAGTCATGCTTTTCTAGGTTCTTAAGTGGATAGATGGCATCAAATTTAGAATGTATGATAGTCAGAAGAAAGAAAACACTTATAGAATGATTTGATAAACAAATTAAATGTCCCAAGCCTAGCCCCCTTTTCCTGTACTACCCAGCTTTAGCATGTCTTCCATATAATCACACTCTCAGCAGAACCTGCTAAAATATGGCAACCAAGTTAGCATTTATTGGTATGTGGATTCTTTTCATGAGAGTGGGCAGCAGAATAAGCCAGGAGTAGGTAAGTGCCTACTCTGCACTCATAGCCAGTGGTAGCTGGTACACCGCTGACCTCCTCTGCTTTCCACAAGGCAGTCATTCTCTTCCTAATATGCTAAAGGACAAGTGGGGGAACTTTAAGACATCATTTTGCAAAGGTGTGCAACTTCTTCTCTAAACACTGGTATGTATTTAACAATTAGTGGGTGTGACAATAGCAGCAGCCCAGAGAGTGGGTGAAGGAAGAACATTACTGAAGAGGCAAAAGGATCATGTTATTCAGATGTTCTCATTCCCAGTTCATCTCACTTCAGAGAAAATAGCCAGAAATACTTTGCCCTGTTCTTTTGTTTCCTGCCCTCTCTTCTGTATGCCTCCAGGGCAAAGGAGCTTGGTCTCTGGCATTTTTATAGGTGCTGACAGTTTTTCTTCAGAGAAATGCTGCCAGAATATCCAGTACTGCGTTAAAAAAAAATAACTTCATCTATAGATACAATTTGTTTGTTTGAAAAAAATCAGAAATTGGTCAGAAATAAATATCTTAACCTTTTAAAATATTCGTGTGAAAGTGTTAGAACTTACCGGCGAAGAAGCAAATGCTCTAAAACTGACAGCAAGGACCCCATCTGACCACTCATGGGACACTAAATCAAACTGTCCATACAGCTGACCCATGGTGACAGACTTTGGATTTAAAACAGTTATTTGAACTTTGTTTTCTTCCATTAGCCCCTTAATGAAAAAAAAATCAATCATTTATTTATTCAAAGAACACTTTCTTTATTCATAGAAAACATTATTGTGTACATAGAAAATCCTAAGGAATCTACAAAGAGAGTATCAGAAGAAATGAATCTGACAAGGTTTCAGCCTGTTGATGTATAAAATCAATTGTATTATCTATACACAATACCAATGAACAACTGAAAAATAAAATTAAAAAAACATTCACAGTAGTATTTAAAAGCTCACAAAATACGTACAAAGAAGTTAGCAAATGTTGTGCAAGATCTATATTTCTTAAAGTACGAAACAGGGATTGGCAAATTCTTTTGTAAAGGATAAGATGGTAAATAATATAGGCTTTGCAAGTTCCATATTTAAATGAAACAAGAATATGTCTGCCACATATTCTTCTATGCTTTTCTTTTTTTTAATCAACAGATATTTAAACTGTTAACATGATTCTAAATTTATTGGCAGTATAAAAGGAGGGTTGGGGCTGAATTTGGCCCATGTACTATAATTTGCTGATCTCTGCTACAAAACAACCTCTGAGAGAAAATTAAAAGACCTAAATACAGAAAAATATCTATCTCTTGTGGAATGAAAGTGTTGATGTTAGTAAACTGTCAATTTTAGCCAAACCCTGAAAGCTAGTCTACGGCATATTAATGCCCTTTGGAGATAAGCTTTTTTTTTTTTTTTTTTTTTTTTTTATTTAATTGGTTTAAAAAAAAAAGTAGTTTTACTTTTACAAAAAAATTGAGCAGAAAGTACAGAGATTCCAGATACTCTCTCCACTACCCAGACAAAGCAGTTTTCCTTTATTAACATCATGAATTGGTGTGGTGCATTCTTATAGTTGATGAATTCATATTAGTGCATTACTATTAACTAAAGTCCACAGTTTATGAGTTCACTCTTTGTGTTGCATAATTCTGTGGGTTTTGCCAAGTGTGTAATATCATTATCCACCATTATAGTATCATACAGAACACTTCCACTCCCCTAAAAATTCCCTGTGCTCCACCTATTTGCAATCATTTATTTTTTTATATATAACAACATAACAAGTTCAACTCTTTCTAACATTGCCTTCTGCCTGCCACTTCCAAGCTTGGGACACAAACGACCAAACTGAAAAAAAAAAAAAAAAAGCGAGAATATTAACCTTTTTTTCTTTTCTCTTTTGAGATCAGCTCTTACTCTGTTACCCAGGCTGGAGTGCAGTCACGCAATCTCGGCTCAGTGCAGCCTCTGCCGCCTGGGCTCGAGTGATCCTCTCACCTCAGCCTCCTGAGTAGCTCTGACTACAGGTTGTACCTGGCTTATTTTGTGTGTGTGCTTTTTTTTTTTTTTAAAGTACAGACACAGTTTCACCATGCTATCCAGGCTGGTCTAGAATTCATATGTACACATACACATTCCAGTTCAATACCACTAACAGCCAATACAGAAGCTTGCATTACAAATCTACCTAGAAAATAAAAAAGACTCCTCTGAAAGCATTACAGGAAAACCTTCAGATTTTTCTGTTTTCAGACTTTTTTCTACAAGAAACATGTATTACCTTAATAATTTTTTAAAAAAGAAATAAAAGGCTGGAAGGCAAGTTTGCGGCATACCCTTTACATGCTGAACTTGCTATTTGCTTCATTTTACTTTTCTAAAACTTTATTTTCTCTTTGACTCATTTTTCTCACAATTTTAAGTTGTCACATTGAAAGCAACTTTTAAACTAATGGCACATTCTACCTTGCACAAAGTTGATCATAAATAAATTAATGCATTAATAATATACTTACCTTTTCACATATATCATTTAGTGCTCCAGCTAAGACGCGATACGCACTAGTTTTTCCTCCAAAGGGTTCTCCAACAATCATAAAACCATGACGCACAATCATCATTTCATATATTTGAAGAATCTTCTCAGAAAAGAATGTGGTCATTTGCAAATTCATGGAGGCACAATTGTCTTTGATAGCTGCCAGCAAATCATTGTAATCTGGTTTCGGTAATTTTACCCCAGGAAACAAATCCGAAGTAATTCCCTAATGACAGATAATTTGAAGGGTTTACATTTTATATCTTTATATTAAATACACATATTTACTCTCGATGGAAACAGGGCCATTGGATAATAATAGTTCAACAGTATTTTTAACAGCTTTATAGAGGAATAGTTTACATACACAAAACTGTATTTTTAATTTTTAAATTGTGTTCCTTACAATGTTTGTTTTGCAAACAGTTTTTGTTTTTGTTTGTTTTGTTTTAGACAGGGCCTGGCTCTATCGCCCAGGCTGGAGTGCAGTGGCACGATCACGGCTCACCGCAAACTCTGTCTCCCAGGCTCAAGGCACACCCCACCTCAGCCTCCTGGGTAGGTGGGACTACAGGTGGCTGTATTTTAAAGTATAAAATTTGATAAGTAAAACCATCAAAATAATCAAGATATTTAACATATTCATCACTCCTAAAAAGCTTCCTGTAACCTTTTGTAGTCCTCCTTCCCTCCTCTCCTTGCTGCCTCCTACCCCAGATTGCCACGCATCTGTTTTTGGTTACTAACATTATGTGGATTGTCTAAATGAAATTAGACTACATATATACTATGTTTTCCCTCTGGCTTCTTTCACATGGCATATTTTGAGACTCATATATGTCACAGCAGGTATCAATAGTTAATTTTTTTTTTACTGAGTAATATTCCATTGTAACAAAGTGCTGCAGTTTTACAGTCTATTCACCTATTGATGTACATTTTCATTGTTCCAGTTTGGGGCTATTACAAATAAAATGACTACAAACATTTGTGTATGGCTTTGTCTGAACAAATGCTTTAATTTCCCTTGGGTGAATACTGAGACAAAGGATACCTGAGTATGACGAATAGGTGTTGAACATTTTAAGTAACTGCCTGTTTTCCAAAGTGGTTGTACTATGCCATGTTCCTCTAGCCATGTATAAGAGTTCCAATACTAGGTATGATTGGTCTTTTAAATTTTAACCATACTGTGTAGTGATATTTTGTTGTGGTTTCAATTTGTATTTTTCAATAAGTAACTTATTTACCTGTGCTTGTGCCATATGTTTATATTTTTTCCTGATCTGCAGTTTGTCTTTCACTTTTGTATGTGTCTTCAAAGAGTAGTTTTTTCAATTTTGTCAATGTATTTTTTATAGATTCTGTTTTTGTTACTGTATTTAAGTAATCTTTGTGTAACATAAAGTCACAAAGGTTTTCTGCTAGAAATTTTAGAGCCTGAGGTTTTACATTTAGTTTCATGTTATTTTTAAGTTAAAAAGTTGGAGTCCTGACTTCTGGTTCAAAAATGGCAGTGTAGAAATAAGTTGACTTCCCTCTTCACCTGCACCCACCCCTACACAGAAATGGTTCAACATCCACAAATCTGTACATGTAATACATCTTGTTAACACCAAGAACAAATACTACATGATTATTTCAGTAGATGTCCAAAAAGAATTCTATAAAATTCTGTATCCCTTTATCATAAAACCCATCAAACTGGGTATAGAAGAAACATACCTCAAAATAATGAAGGCCATATATGGCAAGTCCACAGCTTTTGCACTAAAAAGGGAAAAACTGAAGCCTTACCTCTAAGATCTGGAATAAGACAAGGATGCCCACTTTCACCACTTTTATTCAACATAATACTGGAAGTCCTGGCCAGAACAATTAGGCAAAAGATAGAAATAAAAGGCACCCAATTACCGAGGCAGACCACCATTACCAAGACCATCCAAACTGTACCTCTGTAAACAAAACCACAAGGGAGTTTACACAGCAGCTGGACAAAGCCCACAGCAGCTCCCCAACACCTCTGCTGGCAGACTGTGACTAGACTCCCTCCTTGCTGGACAGGGCACCTCTGAAAAAAGGCAGCAACATGTCAGGGAATTGTAAATAAAGCCCCAACTTCCCAGCACAAAGCATCTTGGAAAAGACGTGGTTATGAGTTCTGCTGCAGCAGACTTAAACATACCTACCCAGCAGCTCTGAACGGAACAAGAGAGTTCCCAGCACGGCACCTGAGCTCTGAAAACAGACAGACTGTCTCATCAAGTGGTCCCCTGACCCGCATGTATCCAAAGATACACCTCATAAAAGAGAGCTCTGGCTGCCATCTGGTAGGTACCCTTCTGGGACAAAGATAACAGAAGAAGAAAATGGCAGCAACCCTTACTATTCTGCAGCCCTTGTAGGTGATTCCCAGACAAGCAGAGTCTGGAGTGGACCTCCAGCAGTCCTGCAGCAGAGGGGCCTGATTGTTAGAAGAAAAACCAAAAAACAAAAAGAAATAGCTTCAACATCAACAAAAAGGACGTCCACTGAGAGACCCCATTCGAGTCACCAGCTACAAAGACCACAGGTAGATAAAGCCACTAATGGGAAGAAACCAATGTAAAAAGGATGAAAACACCCAAAACCAGAATGTCCCTCCTCCTTCAACGGATCACAACTCCTCACAAGCAAGGGAACAAAGGTGGATGGAGAATGAATCTGATAAACTGATAGAAGCAGGCTTCAGAAGGTGGATAATAACAAACTTCTCTGAGCTAAAAGAACATGTTATAACCCAATAAAAAGAAACTAAGAACCTTGAAAAAAGGTTAGACGAACTGCTAACTAGAATAAACAGCTTAGAGAAGAACATAAACAACTTGATGGAGCTGAAAAACACAGCACAAGAACTTTGGGAAGCATACACAAGTTTCAATAGCCAAACTGACGAAGCAGAAGAAAGGATATCAGAGATTGAGGATCAACTCAATGAAATAAAGGAGAAGGCGTTTTTTTTGATCCAAGATGGCCGTTTAGGAACAGCTCAGGATTGCAGCTCCCAGTGAAAGCGCAGAGGGTGAGTGGACGCCGCGTTTTTATTGCCCACAGACTAGGAAATTCCCGGGTGGAGGAGCTCCACGGTCGCCAGCGCGGCTGTGCCGGCCAGCGCCGCTGCTCTGCCCCGCGCGGCTGCTTTGTCGGCGCCCCGGAGCCGGGGTTCTCCGTACAAAATACACTGGTCCAGGGGCCCTTTAGGCTGGTGATTGGAGCCACGGGAAGTTGCCCATACGCTGGTTCAAAAAGGGGACTGAGCAGAGAACCAGGACAGTAGATTCCAGGGCAAAAAAAAGAAAAAAAAGCGCCACAAACCTCAGTGCCGCTGTTTAAGCCAGCGCAGTGAGTGGCCACAGGGGAAAACAAACACACCCCCGCACCTCTTCAACAGGCGACTGGAACACCAACTTAAAAAAGGCTCTGAGGCAGGGAGCCAGGCGATCAGGCTTGGCTGGTCTCACCCCCACAAAAGAACAGCAATCAGAAACTCTGGATTGAGAGTTTCACAGCAAGCGCAGCTGAACCCGGGACGGTCCAGCTCTGTGGGGGAGGGGCGTCCGCCATTACCGAGGCAGCCCGCCGTTGCCAAGGCAACCCGCCATTGCTGAGGCAGTCCGCCGTTGCCAAGGCAACCCGCCGCAGCAGAGACTCCGCCCCAACAGAGGCGGGCCACCATCGCCAAAGCAGTTCTAACTACACCCATATAAACAGGACTGCAGGGAAGTTCACTCGGCAGCCGGGCGGAGCCCACAGCAGCTCAGCAAAGCTGCTATAGGCCGACAGTGACTAGGCTGCCTCCTTGCTGGGCTGGGCAGGTCTGAAGGAAAAAAAAAAAAAAAAAAAAAGAAGGCAGCAGCATAACGGAAAGTCATAAATAAAGCCCTAAATCCCTGGGACAGAGCACCTGGGAACAAAAAGCAGTTTATGAGTTCTGCTGCAGCAGACCTAAAAGTACCTGCCCAGCAGCTCTGAATGAACAACAACAGAGCTCACAGCTCACCATTTGAACTCCTATAAAGAAGAGACCGTCTCCTCAAGCAGCTCCCTGACCCCTATATATCCAAAAAGACACCTCATAAAAGAGAGATCAGATTGACACTAGGCGGGTATCCTTCTGGGACAAAGATAGCAGAAGAAGAAAACTGGTAACAACCCTTGCTGTTCAACAGCTGCTGCAGGTGAACCCCAGGCAAGCAGGGCCTGGCGTGAATCTCAGCAGACCTACAGCAGGGGGGCCAGACTGTCAGAAGGAAAACCAAGAAACAGAAGTAACCTCATCATCAACAAACAGAACATCAATCTGAAAGATCTGAGACCCAATCTGAAAGCCAGCAACTACAAAGTCGACAGGTGGATAAATCCTTAAAGATGGGAAGAAACCAGTGCAAAAAGGATGAAAACACCCGAAACCAGAACACCTCTCCTCCTAAAAGGGATCACAACTCCTCACCAGCAAGGGAACAAGGTTGGATGGGGAACGAATGTGATGAAATGACAGAATCAGACTTCAGAAGGTGGGTAGTAAGAAACTTCTGTGAACTTAAAGAACATGTTCTAACCAAATGCAAAGAAACTAAGAACCTTGAAAAAAGATTGGACGAAATGCTAACAAGAATGGACAAAATAGAAAGGAATATAAGTGAATTGATGGAGCTGAAAAACGCAACACGAGAACTTCGTGAAGCATGCACAAGTATCAACAGCCGAATGGACCAAGCAGAAGAAAGGATATCAGAGGTCGAAGATCAACTCAATGAAATAAAACGGGAAGGCAAGACTGGAGAAAAAAGGGTAAAAAAGAATCAACAAAGTCTCCAAGAAATGTGGGACTATGTGAAAAGACCTAATCTACGTTTGATAGGCATACCCGAATGCAACGAAGAGAATGAATCCAAGCTGGAAAATACTCTTCAGGATATTATCCAGGAAAACTTCCCCAACCTAGCAAGGCAGGCAAACATTCAACTCCAGGAAATACAGAGAACACCACAAAGATATTCGTCAAGAAGAGCAACCCCAAGGCACATAATCGTCAGATTCACCAGGGTCGAAATGAAGGAGAAAATACTAAGGGCAGCCAGAGAGAAATGTCGGGTTACCCATAAAGGTAAGCCCATCAGACTCACAGCAGATCTCTCAGCAGAAACCCTACAAGCCAGAAGAGAATGGGGGCCAATATTCAACATCCTTAAAGAAAAGAACTTTCAACCCAGAATCTCCTATCCAGCCAAACTAAGCTTCATAAGTGAAGGAAAAATAAAATCCTTTGGGAACATGCAAGTACTCAGAGATTTTGTCACCACCAGGCCAGCTTTACAAGAGCTCCTGAAAGAGGCTCTACACATATAAAGGAACAACAAGTACCAGCTCAACTAAAGGGCAAAACACCCAGCTAGCACCAAAATGGCAGTATCAAATTCACACATAACAATATTAACCCTAAATGTAAACGGACTAAATGCCCCAATCAAAAGACACAGACTGGCAAATTGGATAAAAAGACAAAACCCATCAGTGTGCTGTATCCAGGAAACCCATCTCACATGCAAGGATACACAAAGGCAGAAAATAAAGGGATGGAGGAAGATTTACCAAGCAAATGGAGAGCAAAAAAAAGCAGGAGTTGCAATTCTCATCTCTGAT